TTTTTTTTTTTTTTTTTTTTTTTTTAAATGGAAGCATGTATTTATATACAAGTGGACTAAAACAGGTAGCTGCAATAGCAATATGGAAAAGCTCTTATAAGACAGTTAATGCTATTCAAATACAAAATAGAGTAGTAAAAATTTTACTCTTTAAAAAACAAATCAACCAGTCAACCTTAGTTTGTAGTAAGACACCAAACTTTGAAATCTTGTATTTATAGCACAGCCCATCCACAGATAAGCATCACATCTATCCCTAACACTGATAGCTGTTTTAGCAAGTACATATCATTCTCAGAACACTGCCCCACATAATTAGAGTTAAAAGTTTAAACCACTGTTCGGGATTTAGAAAAGGCTAACAAACAATCAAATTTTACCTGCTTTCCATCGATTTCTGTCACCTCTTCCTGAATGACAATTAACTGCAAATTGGAGGTGGAAGCCAAAGGCCACTCATGAACCATGATGCGAACACTGACAATTCCCAAATGTCTTTGATCCAGTAGGTTATCAGAGTTTCCATTCTCCACTGTCAACAGATAATTATGCAGTTATCAAGGTCACAAAAGTGAAACACACACCAACCCCACAAATGACACAGATGAACATAAAAGTGTCAACAAATGTAAGTGGCTAGGAATAACATGTACTCAAAGATACCAACTTCTCAATGCCAATAAATGAATAAATCACTGCTGCTTCTCAAGTACAACACCCAGAAGACCAGCTATGCTGTAACATCGGTAAAGCAGCCTAGTCTTCATTTTCACCTGCCCTACAATTTTCTGTCATTGCTATTGCTGGTGGTAGCCACCATAGTTTTTGCTGCTATGTCACTTAATCCCACTCATGGCAGAGCTAAAATGATAGAGGGCAGCTGTCTTCCTGAACCAGCATTCAAGCAATCCAGCTGGCACTCTACAGTTACTCCTCTGTTGCATTCACATCTCAGTTGTCCAACATGACCCACGAGGATGAGGATGCAGACAAACCAACTGTTTGTACAACAGTTTAGTTTATACAAAATTGCTCTGATCGTTTCTGTAGGTAAGAAGGTCAAATGCCCCCTCCCCAACACTACTTTCTGGAAACCTGCTTGGCTCAGGCCCTCTTTTCCTTTTTCAAATAGCCATTAAGGAGAACTGCTGCCTTCTGAGTTCCAAATGGCAGTCAACAAATTCTTCAGGACAATGTACACTGCTCTTCCCCAGAACCAACATCTTCAGGATCCAAGAATTCTCTCACGCTGTGCAATGGGGTCTCCCTTACCCAAGCTAGGCTCGTAAATTGTTACCCATGCCTTCTTATGTGCCTTCACCAATCCCATGTTCTAAGGCTACCCACAAGACCCTGGCACCCAACCAGAGACGACCCTAGCAGGACGCAGCCTGTGTGGGGCCTGCACATGAAGAAGCTGGCAGCAGCAGTGGGGTGGGGGGTAGCAAGTGGCCAGATGTGAAGCTGGTGGCAGCAGCAGCACAGAGTCACCAGCACTAGGTGGGCGCTGCAGGATGAGCTGCAGCTGCTCCACCCAGCTCCGCAGGGCCTCCCAAAGCTTGGGGCCCAGGGTGGTCCCCCTGATTTGCACCCCCAGGGATGGCCCTGCACTCAACATCCCCAGTTAGTAGATACAGAATAACCCTCTTCTCTTATTCAGTGCTTCTCTGTATACACCTACTAATCCCTCCTATCCCACCACTGTTGAAGTAAAATGAAGCTTGCAGTGGAACACTTTCAATGAGGATAGTAAGGCATGCTGTTCAAGGCCAGTCTAGACATCATGGCTGGGTTGTCAGTGCAATCCACAGCTTGTAGGTTTTGGGGGAGACATAAATGTCTTCAATCATCCATCAACACTTTGGCATTTCCGTAGCCTTCATATTTATATCCCATTAAAAGCAAAATGTTTTTTTTTCCAATACCAAAACAATGGTTTTAAACAACACCTTCCCCCATATCCCCCCCTCACAGCTTCCTCAACTGTCTGACCCCCCTGCTACAGTGGTGGTTGGGACAAATTTAAGATGAACCTCCAATAATTAGATTCTATACATGGAAAATTGTAACAAATTTATAAATTTTCCATGTATAGAATCTACACTTTCAGATTTCTTGCAAGTCACCTTCAATTCTGGTAATTACAGTATGTAATTAATCCTCAGAACAGGATCAAATGGTATATTCTGTTCTTCAGACCATGGAAACAAGGCAATTAGAGAGTGGTGCCAAAAGTATGTGTTCCCAGCTCTGGATCCCAGGCCGAAGACAAAATAACTGGTTTCATCACAGTTTCAGATTTATATAATACATTTGTAAAACAAATAAAAACCTCCATCCCAATGGCAGATTACTGGCTTAGAAACTAATGAAAGCAGTTGAAAGTACACAGCATCACGCAAGATTAGGCTTTGTATTTGTCAATAAAAACTTGGCTTGCATTTTTGAGTCAACTGTCTCTTAAGTAAATTACACTTTGAGATGTTTTAAAATCTGTACCAGAGACAGAAAGAGACAGGAACATACCTAACTACAAGAGACAAACGGCAATGTGTTATTATTGCCTGCCCCCACTGTCCCTCCCAAAAGGAGCTGTGTTAAATTAATAATTTATCATGCTCTGGGTTTTCAAAAGACAAGGTCATGTCTCAGAGAAGCAATTTAAAAAGCATTAGCATGTTCTTAGGAAAGATCTGATCATAAAGGGCAGATGACCTCAGAAACCAACCTTGAGACTGATCATAACTAGTGCATCAAAAAACCATTCTGCATATAAGAGGATCTTCAATCAAATTAACATAATAGTCTCAGCTTCATTCATTATGCAATATGCTGTGCATCTCCAAGAATCAAAACACTTTTGAGTGGCACTTGTTGAAGTACAGCATTGAATTAGTGAGGAAAACAACTATTTCTTCTTCCACAGGACAATATTAAGATTGCAGTACTTGCACAACATAGCAGCCTAACCTATGAAAACCTTGCCTGGCCCCCTGGATGTGGAATTAAGATATCACAACAAAACATACTTGAAGAACCACATAATTCTAATTCCCATTTCTCCGGCTGAACTTTCTGGACATGTTCCAAACAATACAGAGCCATTAGCAGGGTGGAGTCACATCCTTGCATTTACATGGCTTAGTTGGTGCTACAAAACCCTCTGTTTACAGAAATACATATAAGAGCTGTATTTCAACTGAAACTGTTTAAATACAAGCACATCCATGTCAGAGAAAAACTGAGCAAATCAGATTCTTCCCCATCCACAAATTAATTCTGTATTTGACTACCCTGGAAATAGATTGTTTTCGTGCTGACCTCTGGAGTGTGTTACAGTAACAAGTTATGCTTTTCTTTGGATAACAAAGAATTAGATATCTCAGACAAAGAGCTGAGATTTACTCACATATTAGACTTGGACACTTTATCCGGATAACACCAATCTTCATAAGAAAGTCATTTACATATACTTGCCCATTAACGTAAGTGACATTAAACAGAACCTTTAAAAGAGAGAGAAAGAGAGAGAGAGAAGGTAGTTAGCAGAAACTGCATACTTAAATTCATCATGTCACATTTTCAGTTTCAGAAATACATAGTAAATGCAAAGTGAGGCATTACAGAATAAAATAATGACATCAATAAATCAGAAAAAGTAGACTATTTAGCACATGCTCATGAAGTCAAATCCTCCCTTCACATCTGCATGCCCAACACCTACTGGTTCATAACACATTCATAGGTCAAACGCACCTGTTTTCCATGAAGTTCCCCATTGGCTCTCAACACAGTAACATTGACTCTGATGGTCTCCTGAAAAACAGTAATGAAAAAGGCAGTCCTGTAAGACAAAGTGCATCTCACAGTGCAATAAGATACTGAGCCCACACACTAGTCCCGTATGCTGTACTTGGAAAAAATAGGGATGCGTGTAGGACAAGTGAGCACATTTCCCATTTGTCCCATCTGGAAAATACTGAAATGTGCTTAACTTGTCCTATTCAACACCTGTTCTTTGAAGAGGACTGATAAGGAAAAGAATGATGACTGCTCCCTATTTAGTGGAGAAATGTAATTGTAAAAAATGTGAGAGATCAGCAGGGATCCACGTTTTCTGTATGCAACAGAAAAATATGAATTTTCTCCTTTAAAGGAGAAAAACGTGGGAAATGGCAGGTTTCTCCTTGCAGGCTGGCAGAGTTCCAGCTTGCAAAGAGCTGCTTGGGGCTGGGGGAGTGGGAGGAAGGTGATCATCACAGGCAGGGGATGCCACATGCATGTGCATGCACACACATGCACATGGCAGCAAGGCAGCATGGTAGAGACCAGTTCCCGCAGCTCCCTGTAGATAAGTCTATGAGGGGGAGGGAGGCATAGGTGACAGGGGAGGGCAGATGGGGGGTAAACTGAGGTGGCGGCAGCAGCTTGCAGTAAGCCCCCACAGTGAGTGAGGGAGTGGGGCAGGGTTGGCAGCTGGGGCTGGGGGCGCTGCCCCACTGGGGCAGTGCACGGTGCCCAGGGTCAGAATACATGGCTGTAGGACCCAGCTGGGTAGCGGGATGGAGCCATGGATGGCTCGTCCAGGGTGGGGCTGGCGGGGGAGCTGGCTCCCCACTGCTGTGCACACTCCCAGGGAGGGGTCAGACACTAGAGGCGATGCACTGGGGTGGTATGTGGTGGGGGGGGAGGAAGCAAGTGCCACCTGATTTGTGCGCCAACAGCAGGGTACGGGGCTTCAACCTGGCTGGACTAACATGGGCAGGAGCCACTTCCATGGCCCAGTGGGCAGGACCCAGCATGGGAGGGCAAAACAGGGTGGCAAGACTCATTGCTGCTGCCACTGGGACCCCCAGGCCAGCCACGTCACCAGGAGCACAAGGAGTAATGGACATGGGGGAGGGCTGCGCTGCCCTCTCCTCCTCCTGCTGCCAGCCACTCACATGCCTGGCCATAGCTCTACCCCAAAGAGGAAGTTGGCTGGGGGGCAACATGGGTGGCCTGAGGGCAGTGGCAGCCACTGGGCCCTGGTGGTGAGGTAGAACCACAGCATGGCATGCAAGTGGCTGGTGGTAGGAGGAGGTGAGGGCAGCAGGGTGTATGTCCCATCTCCCTCCCCCCTTGCTCTGTTACTCATCACGCTGCTGGTGGCATGGGGGTCCTGGAGGCAGAGTCTCGCTACACCGCTCTACCCTCCTGCACCAGGGTCCTGTCTGCTGGACTGCAGAAGCAGCTCCTGTGCATGGCAGTTCGGCCAAGCTACAGACCCATGCCCTACCGTGGGCCCCCCCCAACATGTACTCAGGCATACCCTCCCTGCCCCCACACAGAGTGGGGGAGCAGAGGCTTGGGGGAGGGGAGCAGCAGGTCAGGAGTAAGGAGGGGCACCCGCAGGGCTAGGGGGTCTGTGGCTTGGGAGTGATGGGCACTGGCATATTAGGGCTGCTCAGCACCACAAAGCAACAAAGGGAATAGCCACAGCTGGACCTGCATACTGGTAAGTGAAGGGGAGCTCTGATTTTCCATGATTAAAAAAAAAAAAAAAAAATCAAAAAATATAGATTTTAGAATTTATTTCATGATAATGATTGAGGCACTGGTAGGCTTCCAAACTGCTTTAAAATTGTAAATATATCAATAAAGCATTGTGTTCACCTGATACCTATATAGATAGAGGAGTTTCATTTTAATCATGGGAAAATGCAGATTTTGGGAGTTTTTAATCAAATCAGAAATCATCAAGCAAAGCCCTCAAGAAAACACACATTGTTCAACATACGGATACACTTGAGACACAGCAGCTAGAGATGGCTGAGACCCAACAGGGCAGGGATGAGCACTTTGTTTAGGCTGGAGGGCCATTAAGTCAGTGTTGATGAGCTATTGAGGGCTGCACATACATACGCATACATGCACACAGGAGCTCCCTGCAGTGAGGCCAGGGCTGACCCCAGAGCTGGAGCATAAGTTTGGCTAGGGCTGCTCCACCTCGCCCCACACACACACACACACACACACTCTCTCTCTCTCTCTCTCTCTCTCTCTGTCCCTCTCTCTCTCACCCCGCAGCACCCATGAGCCCTGATGGTGGGGCAGGATGGGACAGCACGTAGGCTCATGGCCAGGCTCCATTAACCCAGGGAGAGGTTGAATGAGCGGCATTTGGGCTCTGGCCTCTACTGACACTGCAGGGGCTGCTGGATGGAAGCAGCCCCATCCATTCACCCATCTCCACATGGCAGGCCCTGAGTGAGCTGCATGCAGGCCCTGGCCTCTGCTGGCACTGCATGGTGCTGGACAGGTGGGTGGGTGGGACTGCTTCCTCCCAGCATCCTCTGTGGTGCCAGCAGAGGCCAAACCCAAAACCCAAGTGCATCCCTCGCAGCGCCTGGAAGATGGGAGTCCAACACTGCAGGCCCTGGGCACCACCCACCAGCAGAGGCCGGGGTCCAAGCATGACTCACCTATGGCCTGCGGGGCTGGACTTCATCTCCCAGGCAGCTGCGGGGGATGTTGAGTAGAAGTAGCCCCACTTGCCTGCCTGGCAACAGTAGAGGTGGAACTGCCACCCATATAACCCACTAGCAAAAGCTGGGGTCCAAGTGTGCCTTGCCCAGGGCCTGCCGCATGGTGCTGCTGCAGCCCACCAGATAAAATTAACTGGCAAGCCAGATCTAGCCCGTGGGCCGTATTTTGCCCACCCCTGCAATAATGTATGCCACCTATTCCACTCCTAACAAGACTGTTACTTACACAGTTTTAATGCTTCATCCAGTTTCACTTTCCAGAAATATAATAATGCTATTTAATACAAAACTTTCAACCATTAAGTAAAGGGCATAAAAGTAACACTTCTTTCCAGTTTTCAAAGTTGCTCATTCATTTCTCCACTACTTTTCATTATCTTTTCAACTCATGCACACATTCCCAACCCAGACATTTCCCACCCTTTCCAGGCCCAGATCCAAGAGATTTACTCACTTCTCAACTACAAATTGCCTCGATTTATTAAATTACTGCCTCCCAGCATCATCCAGTCCCTTAAGACAGCTACAACCTCTCCTCCTCTTATTGGCAGGACTGAGTGACAATTCCTTTGTATCTGGTGCCTTTCTTCAAAACCTCCTTAACCTGCCATGGCCCATTCCCTTTTTGTAAAACAAGGAAATAAAAATCTTCCAGGAACTAGACAATTAGTAAATAGAGCCACACCATTACCCTGCCCTTTTCTAACAAAGCAGAGTTATTTCACAACTCCTCTGTCAACTATCACATCTCAGCCTTAATGGATTTCACTGGGGTTTTGCTCTCTTTTCCATATAGGCAATGTAGCCTCTTGCTGCTAGTTCATCTTCTCCCTCTGCACAGTATACTTTGGTATACCTTTCTTGATCAAATTCCAGGGCTATCCAAGCATCTTAAAGAGTCTCACATCACTATTTTACTGATACCTGCCAAATATTCTCCAGCCATATCTACCTAGGCTTTCAGCCATGTTTTAAAGAAGAGTTTAGGCTCACCTAGATTTTACAAGTGGTATTTTTTTTTAAAAAAAGGGGTTTTTACAAGTTCTAAGGGACAGGGAATGCCTTATTATCTGCATATAGTACATAACAAAGCAAAGTGCCATTCCTAAATAGGACTTTGCATCTTTGCTGCTATATAAAAGATCCATAATAATTATTATTTCACATCCCCTATGCTGGACAGTCTAAACTACACCTGAAATGGACTTAGCAGGAACTAGGGTTAAATTAAGAGTGAACACGATTTAAAACCCAACAAATAGCTGCTCCCTGGGAAAATGACTCATACAAAAGGTAAATCTGTTCTCAGTGCCTGTTACAGGAAGCAGATATCTACACCACCTTTTCTCAGTCATCCAAGAGAAATGAAATCCCACCAGTTCATTTGGGAAACTAAAATTAGTTAGTCCAAATATAGGTCAGATCAACAATAAAACTATAGGACTCAGACTACAGTGCTTTCAGCCAATTCCCTTTCCCTGCTAACGACATTCTTCTCTTCGGGTCCATACTAATTAGATATTTAGAAACTGACACTTGATTTAACTCCTGACCTATCATTAAGAGCAGTATTGTATTACTTTACATCTTGCATTGTATTTCTTTAAGGTAAGAAATTTACTGAAACCTTTGTCTTGTGATTTTCATGCTACTTTTGCTGGGTGAAGGAACTCTGAAGAAGCCAAGGGCACAATTTCAAGGCCGTCTTAATCTTCCCTCTCTTTTTAGGTTTCCAGTGCAATTTTAAAAAGTATTCCACAAAGTCATTTTTGTTATATATCTCTTTATATGAATATCTATATATATAATCTCTCTATAGAATGACTCATTCAAATTACAAGTAGGGGGAAAAAAAAGAGCTCCGTATAATTGCTCAGAAAAATAACAAATGGGGAAAGCTCATGTTTTGTAAGTGTTCAGCTGAGAAATGAAAGGGAAGGAAAACAGATGTACTCACACACAAGCAAATGTAAAAGCTTACTAAATGAAATTATGCATTATTCTTTTGTTTTTTTCAAGGTTTTTCAATCCTTCCATGGTTTTCCAGAGTAGCTAGTCTTAAACAAAAGCATATATTCTAAACTTAAACACATCAAGTTCCTCATCAAGTAGGGGTGCACCGAGAGAGATTTTTCGAGCCGATACCGATAGCCGATTTTTAAGGAGGCATATTGGCCGATACCGATTCAATTTCCAATGCAGCTGCCTGCAGCTGCTAAGTCCATTGTGGTGGAAGGGGACAGGGGAGGGAAGGGATGGGGGGGGGGTGCAGATCAACACCCCCCCGTG